ACTAACCCTGAGGATGACTTTAATGACCACTGTGAAATCAACTTGGGGAAACTGCAGCATGATTTTAGTTTAAGACTAAATGTCAATATTCAACTAATTTCCAAATCAGTTAACCTTCACCAAGGAAAAGGGGATGGTGGTAAATTGTTTTTCTAAGGGGGGATGGGGTGGGGCAAAAGTCACAATCTACTCTTCATCACTTATTTTTTCAGCCTCAAGAAGCTTCACAAATCTTAAATGGTTGAAGAAATGACAGAACAGACCTTACAGACTATTGCAATTATAAAATAAAGTCTTACCTAAATTTGTAGTAAAGTGTTTTCCATGTAACAAGACTATCAGATTATTACCTCAAGATCAAAGCTGAATTCTAATGTCTGATGAACTGACCACTCTATTTAGCCCCTTCCTAATTGGCACTATTTATATTTGGTACCTATGTTGAAAGCTAATGGTGCCTATGGCTGGCAGAATAAGGAAAAGACTTCTCTGGACAACACAGAAGCAAGTTTGATTTTTTTCCCTCTATTCTTTCCTCTACCTTCAGTTGTTCTTCTTCTGACATCTCTAATTAAAAGTTTCTTTCCCCATAATTTAATAATGGGCAACAAGAAACCTAGCCATTTGTGAAGTGGGTGTGCAGAGAAATCTGTCAATGAAACTGTATTTCAATTCATTCTCATACCACCGCTTATCGTCAATTCTTACCATCCCAGCAGTGGATTCTGTAAGCTGGACATTATGCAACTCAAGTTTCAGACCTTATTAGTAGGGTCTACAGTGGTATGAAAAATACAGCTCCAGACAGAATACAATTACTGAAGACTTCAATCACTGTATGCAGTAGATTTTAAAGACTGCTTCATTTCTAATACCGAATTTCATGCCTTTACCATTCACTAAACCAAATATATTTACTTATATCTGATCCCAGGGAATTATTTACCCACAAATGCTATTATATCCTGTTGACTTTTTTTTTAATCAAGCCCCCAAATTAATATCTGAGAAGTCTTGTCATAGAGTATGTATGTTGAAGAGAAAAATCACTTTCTTCTACCTTTGAATTATTTAAAATGTGTTTTGGCAATGATGAATACGATAATCTCATTGCAATACTTTAAATGGCCTTTCTTTCAAAACCTCAAACCATGAAAAATCATTGTTATATTAGTCTTCCATCTGATTTTTCTGAGTAGCTGGATCCATCATTTTCAAGCTAACACTCTAGACAGTTTGATTCATTCTATTTTCCAGAAAAATGTACCCTAAGAACATTTTATTTCAATAATACCTGACTTTGAGTTTAAGATCAGCAAGGACGCTGTAATTTAAGATGATCTTTTGTTAGATGAACCATGACAAGTTAACATTGCTTCAAAGGATGTAGTTAACAAATATACTAGGTAGGTTGGCAGTAAGCGGTAAACCAAGAGGGAATTCACACCATGTAGACAGTGGCTGAATAACCTCTAAATACTAACCCCACTGAGTAGTTTTGCACTAGAAGGAAGGAATGAAAAAAGGGACAAATTTCCTTAAAAAAATGAGATGACAATATTCATTGTGACTTTTTGATAAGAGATGTGTTCTGGCTGTCAGATCTCATCATCTAATTACATTAAATATTTCCCTTTTTATCTAAAAATTTGCTTACATAGTAGAGTATCAACTCCATGAATATAATGTCTATGTACTATTTATTTTCTAAAACTAACTTCCTAATCCCTACTGCTAGTTATGTTAGATACAAATTTGTGGGCACTCAACATTTATCAAATTAAATGACAAAGGGAACTATAATCTTTATGAACTTTGTCATAGGTAATGCTTATCAAAAAGCTGGTACTCTTTGTCTCCTTTGGGGGGAGACATCTGGAAAACAGGTGAACAAATCCTACTTGTGGTAAAACAAAGTGACAGGTGTTATAAAGTGTCCACTAAAACTATTTGTGAGCACTACTATTTATAACCTAAGTTTCTGCATATCCACATAAGAAATCCACATTACAAAGAATTCTTGGATCACATTTAGCATCAGAACATGAAACAGGGAATCCTTACAATGGTTCTCTAACCCCTAAGCCCTTTGCTTTTAGTCCATCTGATGAAAACTGATTGCCCTAAATATTTTAGAAAAGATAAAGTGAACAAGTGTTGTCATTTTCTGCTTAAAATATATTTTCCCAATCATTATGATAAACTGAACATATACTTTTAAACAGGAACTTTTTAAAGAAAAAGAATACAGTGACTGAGCTCTGAGTGGGAAAGGGGAGAATAAGTAAACTTACTGGCAGCTGATTTTATAGCACAATGCCCCTAAAGTAGAGGGAGCTGATTCTACCACCTTAGTAAAAAGGCTCCTACAATTCTTTTGACCAAGATATACTCATTAATTGCCTCAAGCGTTTAAGACTGCTGACGCGAGGAAAGCAAGATCCCTTGTTTAGGTACAATTACATCAAGCAATAAACTGGATACGATGAAGAATTTTAACCTATGGCATCTAACATAGGCTTCCCCTAACTCCAGGAGGGCTGACCCTGCATGTCATGTAGGTGGTGTTACGCTGTGCTTTCTTGCTGCTACCGTCGGTGACCTTTTCTTTTTTCTTATGGTAATATTTTGAGAAAAGAATAGAGTATTTACCAAGTAGAAAAAAACCCCATGATTCCCTAACAATTTTTCTCTTCCCTTATTTCTCTTTCCCTTTCACTCTTCCTTTGTACTTTTGAAAGCAATGGTAAAAACAGGTATTAGTGTATTCATTCCTGCCAGTTGCAGGTCCTAGAGAACATGCTGCACACTCCTGCAGCTGATGCTTCTTTTGGGACATCATAAACGGAATCCTTAATAAATGACTGTAACCGAGAAAATTTCTAATAGCCAATATCTTTAGGAAATGCCCAAGTTTTGTTTATGTCTGAACACTTGATTTTAAAAATCCTGGTTTCTACCCATGTGTTTAGGAAAAAGCTGACAAACTTGGTCTGAAATGTAAAAACTGAAAAAAAAAGTGGGAGGAAGAGAACTTGCAAAATAAGTTAATCATTATCATTCTAAGTGCCACCAGTTCTGTTTATATTCATGCACATGTGAATTGTTGAATCTCATTTGATCAACCCAATTAAACATTAAATAATTGCAGCCAATTATGCAAATATCAGCAACAATATTAATTTGTTGATCCTTTTGAGCAGATTAGCCTCACATGTTCCTAATGCTAGACTATCTTACGCCATAAATGATCAATTAGTGTTAGGATAACTAAGTCTTGAAGAATGGATAATTGCCTAGTTATAATGTGTCACTCTTGCTGTATTAATCCACTGCAATTAAACAAATAGTGCACAAGGAAAAAAGATGTGCAGATGTTCCTTTTAAATCTATTTAACAAGTTAGTGTCAAGGTCAATTTTCTGTCTTATTACTTAAAAGAGAATGGCAGATTGTGTTCTCTGTTTTAGAAGACCTCCAGTTTTTTAAAATGTATATCCTTAGTTTTCACTCCATCTGGTAGAAAGGGCTTAAAATGCTCTTAAGGTTTGATCAAAGAAATCATAGAGACATAATGTCAAGACATATTGTTCTCTAACTTCTACAACGGACATGTGTTGCCATACTAAATTTAGAGATGCAAAGTATAAAATGTATTTATGGCAAACAAATGATTTCCGTTTCTCATAGAAATGTGAGTCTAGTTATTAAGTGCTACTTGACAGGTTAGAATTACCTTTAAGTCTTTTCTAGACTACTATATTAAAAACGAGGTCACGGGATTTAGCCAAGGCAAATGCACACCCTTAGAATACTACTTGGTGAATGTGTGTAGAGGACAGTTAAAGTACTTGAGGCCTGAAAAGAACAGACTCTTCCAAGACTTCAGATCACCAATTAAAAGCCCCCTAAGAGATATTTTTACTATTCCTTTTCATCTTATACTTCCCTAATTTTCATTTTACCATCCCTATCTAAAAGGACCCTATGGTCAAAAGTCTTGGAAAAGAATCAAAGCCCCATTTGCTATGTGCTGCTAAATGCCTTAAGGAAATTTTTCTAACACATCAAACTTTTAGAATTTTTTTTTCCTTGCTCTGAAAGAGAATGAAATATGATCAGCAAGATGAAAGTTATTAGAACTGAGGGAAACCAAAATATAATGTCTGAGAGTTGACCTTCCAAGGGTAAATGTTTTCTAGCAAGATCTGACTTTCCCCTAGATAAACCAGGATTCAATTTTAACTCACAGCTCCTAAATGAGGAAAATAACATCTAGAATTGCTCTCCCTATATCCTAACCACGTGATCATCCAATCCACATTCAAAAGAAATGAACGCCTACAAAAGCAAAGTATACCCCTTTGCTTTCTACCAAAAAGCTAGATATGAGGATTTATTTTGTATTTAACACTTAACAAATGTCATTTCCATTTGGTTGGTATGATATCACGACCTCACTAGAGCCGTTATTTCAATTCCAAGATGGTCTTTAAATACAAAATAATCCCTCCAACAAGCTATGCCTTTGAGTATCTCTAATGACTTAGCAGTCCCTGGAAAATAAAGACAATATGAGGTACATGTGCACAATGTCAGAATCAACCACAAATTCTAATAAAGAGGTTTCATAATATAGAAACAAAGGTGGTACACTTCTATAGAAGCTAAATGATCGATCATTCATTATTTAATGAGTATCTCTTATGTGCCAGGCAGGGGGCTACAAAGATATCTAAGGCACAAGACCCTCAGTCTTGTATTAGAGCCTGACAAACAGCCAAATACAATACACTGCAGAAAGGACAATGGTGGAAATGTGCACAGGTCTTGCTGATGCACAAGGAGAACTTGGAGCAGGCTGTGACAACATCAGGAAGAAGGGGAGAGATTTACCTTAAGATGGACATGGGGGGTGCCTGCAAAAAAAAAAAATGTGAAGGGAAGAAAACCAGTTTTTGAAAGTCTTAATTATAAAAAAACAAAACAAAACCCAACCATTTTCTGAAGAGGAAGGTACATCACAGGAAATGTTACCTATGAAATTTACCCAGATCAGTTTTCAAACACAAACTCATTTGGTTGAGGAGACTATAACTTAAGCTAAGGAATAAACAAACACTTCTGTATCTGAGTAAAGTATTAAGGGAGGCACTAAGATTATTGAGGAAAATTCTATGCTATATGGCTTACATGATCATCTTTCCAAGAGAAGGTAAAGTAAGCTTCTACTACCAAGTTTACAAAATAGCACTTGATTGCAATTCATTTTCTCTGGCATGAAGAAACAATCACCCCAGTAACACTGATAATACAAACTACATTATGCACAACTAAAAACAGGTAGCCAAAGAAATCTATCATAATTCAACCGCAACGGTCTGTCTCAACAGCACACAGGTGATATCCTGTATTTTCCATTCAGGACACTATGATTGTCCAGTCGCTCTCTTCTCTTCCGTACTACAACAAAAAAAGCAAGAAAACATATTTAAGTGCAAAACCTAACAGTGGAGGAATCTCTTCTAAACTCAGTAATACAACCAACATTGTACAAAAGGTATGCTCCTGTTTTGAACATTAAAAGTATATTCACATTAAAAATATGATTAGAGAGAAAGAATCAAATATCTGGAAAGAACCACAAATTTCATAATTATGGTTGAACTCAAATTTATAGCTGGTATAGGTCTTGAAGTAATGCCTTTTTATTGCCATTCTGTATTTAGCATCTGCTGTCCAAATAAAGTAACTGAGTTAAATTTAATTATTGTCATCTTTACTCTAAAGAAGTGATGTTCAAAGTGTATCCCCCAGACCAGGAGCATCAGCATCACTAGGCAAGTTGTTTCAAATGCAAATTCTCAAGCCCTAGCTCAGACTTCACTGAATCAGGAAAGTCTGGGGATGGGTCCAGGCAACCATGCATCAGCCAACACTTCTGGGTGATTGTGACGCTAAGGTTGAGAGTCACTGCTCTAAAAGCCCCCTTCTCAAGAGTGTTTTGTGTTTGTGCACAAAAATATTAAATGGACAAGCCCTGTGGCTCTGAACAGCAGCTCTGTTCTCTAAAGTTGTTCTGTGATGTTAGCATCCCAATTTTTCTTATTCTTTCAAAAGTTATGGAACTACAACATAATCAGAATTTATTTGCATCAAGTGATTCGCTTTTACAAAGCAGAATTTTCATACTTAAAACTGAATTAAATGAAATAAAGATATTCCAGATGTCAGAAGTAGAAAGCTAGTTTTGATTCATTCATTCATTCATTTAACAAACATCTCTGTGTGTAAATGAGCTCTCACTCTTTGAGCAAGTACTGCATGTTAAGGCCATGGTGCCAAGTGCTTTACAGACTCATTACTAAATTTATCCTCACGGTAACCCCAGATAGTGGGTGCCATTATCAATCTCATTTTATGGATGAGAAAACTGTATTAGGGAGATTAAAAAACTTACTCAATTAGTAAATGGTAGAGCCCAGACTCTAGCCAAAGGTCTCTCTCACACCAAATTACATGTTCTTTGCTACTATCTGAAATTCCTGCCACGTGTTCACATAGCCATGTGTGTGGAGACAGACTTGGAACATATCTCCCCTACCACCCAGAGCAGCATGCCATTATGTCTGCCACCATGTGCTTGCCTAAATCACTCAGATGATGTCCCCTTTTCACATGAACTGGCCTTTCAGTGCTAATAGAACTTCAGTTGAAATTCATATAAAACATAAGAAGTTCTGAATTGGAAAGAACTTTAATGATCATCTAAAATGTAGGAGATTCAGGGCGCCTGGCTCAGTCAGTAGAGCATGTGACTCTTGATCTCGGGGTCATAAGCCCCATGTTGGTTGTAGAGATAACTTGAAAGTGAAACCTTTAAAAAATAAATAAATAAAATGCAGGGGATGGGTCAAATAGTGGGGCTCTGGATTTTTACTTCAGAACAATTCCACTTTGGTTTTCTATATTGGGATTCCAGGAAAGATTTCTTTTGTAGAAAGTTCTGCTCCTTCAAAATCAATTGTGGGGTGCCTGGGTGGCTCAGTCAGTTAAGTGTCTGACTCTTGATTTCGGCTCAGGTCATGATCTCAGGGTTGTGGGATTGAGCCCCGTGTCAGGCTCTGTGTTCAGTGCAGGAGTCTGTGTTTCCTTCTCCCTCCGCTCCTCTCCCGCTCACACTCAACAATCTCCCCTCTCTCTTCCACTCTCACAAATAAATAAAAATAAAATCTTTAAAAAAAAATCAAGGGGCACCTGGGTGGCTCAGTCGGTTAAGCGTCTGCCTTTGGCTCAGGTCATGATCCCAGGGTCCTGGGATTGAGCCCTTCATCGGGCTCCCTGTTCATTGGGAGGCCTGCTTCTCCCTCTCCCTCTCCCTGCCATTTCCCCCGCTTGTGCTCTCTCTTTCTCTCAAATGAATAAAATCTTAAAAAAAAAAATTTAAAAAAATCAAGTGTGAAGAGCAATGAACTTTTTAAGCCAAGCTTCTCATTTTACATGTAAGGACATTAAGGCTCTAGAAAACTCTTAATCATAAGCCCAGGGCTCTTGCCTCTGTTTGATGCCATTTCTCCCATGTTACACTGTCCATGTGCTGTGTTCCTCTTAAAGAGCTTTAAAGACCTCAGAGAGCAGAATCTATCAAAATTGGTAAAAAAATACTGGAAGCCAAGAAGGGGTCTACTTACGACCTTCTGGTTTATAGAAAAAGGAGAATGAAGGAAGCCCAATGATTATAAGTGACTTGCTGAATTCATACCAGAAAGAGTTGTCTAAAGAGTGTGGCTTCCCACTACAACTACAGTTGTTGATTCATGATGAATGCTGGATAAAACATTCCCAAATTCTGCTTGATTTATGTATGGTGCTGACATGACTTAAGCTAAGATCAAAATACGTGTTTTATTTCTCGTGCCTGGATTCCCATTAATACATTAGACACTTCAGCCATTAATAACAATTGAGTGTCATCACACTGACATTTTAGCAGATCTACATTATTGTGATTCACACCCACCATAATTTCATCTTGAATCTCATCAGTTAAAGTAAATTTGTTTCCAATTAGTTGTTTTAGTTTTATAAACAGTCAAAAATCAATTTTGATTACAATGACAGTCATAGGCCATCTAAGAACCTGCATAATATATATTAAGATTTACCCCTCACATCCTGTAATTTATGCTTTTATGTAAAATTATAGCATTCTGAGATGCATCCAAGAGATGTGATAATACAGGTCGTTTATAATACCTACACCTAGGCAGTTAGCAATGAAACTTTTCATTTGGATGATAGGTAATTCGATTTAATTTTTCAAAGCAAAATAATTCAAAAGCAGAGATGGCAGATTTTAGTAGAAATAGAAATTATCTTCTTTCCTCAGGAGCAGGTGTCCAGAGGAGGGGAAAGAACAATGTCTGCCTGGGCGAGGCTGTCCTTATCCCATCGTCAGGGTGATTACAAAACCACAGCAGCAGGCCCACACCTTCAGCCTTTGACAGGTGCACTCTAAGTCACATTGACTTGACGTTGTTCGCTGGAATCAAAGACGAAATTAAAGCAACATGGCAGATCAGACTGAGCCCGTGGTGTGATACTCTGAGCCTAACAGTGTGATGTGCAGAAATTTCACCTTTCATGAATTCCAGGAAGAACACTATACCAAAACACGAATAATGACAAGTTCATTACTTCCCATTCAATGCACATATGGCAAATAATTTTACATGGCCTTTGCTAAAATGCGTTTTACCTTCAGTAGAAAGATCTTAGCAACATAAAGGGCAATCTACGTGTCATGCACTTACTCTCTATGATGCCAGTAAAAATATAATCATGGCTGCCCACCAGGTAACAATTTGTTATTCTTGTTCTAAATCCTATTCAATGGCCTGCAAAGCTCTGTAATCCTGTAATGTGGAGAAGTGTGTATTAGGGAACAAGGAGGGGCTGGGAAGCTGGTCAAGGGACTGTGTCATCAAGGCAATCTGGCAATGTTCACTTAGTATGCACTCAAAGAGAAGGATAACTCAGGACATCAGCAGGGGAAAGTGGTGGGGCTCCTTAACTTATGTAACTAAAAACCATCAAGTGGTTCCACTGAAAACAAGAAAAATGCAAGACCACTAATGGTCATTTATTCTCACAAAGCTGTAGCTGCTAGTGGGGAAAACAGATTTTTGAAAGAAATTCCATCTGGTGGCCTGCAATCAATACTGATCCTGCTCCTAGCTCACTGGGATTTCCTTGCCCTAACCTACTTAAGACCTCTCAAGTCTCTGCAATCACTACTTCCCACTTTCTAAAACCTCAACAGCAGCACTGCTATTTACACAAACATACTGTCTTGGTATCTGAGACCTGGATTCCAGCTTTTATCTGATCCTGATAGCAGTCTTGGTGTGTGTATTTCACTTTTTTTTTTAAGTGAAAAATCAGGTCCTCTGAAAGTTTTCTTGCAAAGTAATTTGACATTATTCAAGACCTTCCTCCCACCTCTCCTCAGAATGTGTTAATATACAAGAGCAACATGTTTCTGTTCTTCAGTATTTGTCTGGTATATCCCTCACTTATTCATTCCTTTTTCATTTATGCAAGAAACATCACTGAGTACGTACTATAGCCCAGGCCCTGCACTGAATATTGGGGTTACGAGAAGGGAATAAACCAATCCTTACATTCAAATCACCTGGAACAAAGACACGTGTGTGACTAATTAAACACAATTTAAAGGCCATATGTGATCATTCCAGGGGCTATGGACGCTGGAGGAAGAACTAGCATTTGAATGAATGAATGAATAGGTGTTTGTACTGGGGGAAAGGGATGTTGTTCAAAAGAGATTTTAAAGGTTCCTCAAGGAGATGTGCCTTGAAGGACAACCAATAACTTTTCAAGTGGGCAAACTGTACAAGGTTTACAAGGTACAGAAAGGCAGGAAGAAGCAGCAGAGAGCAGAGCATATTGGAGAACAGAGAAGACCCCAAATGGCAGGCACATAGGTGAATATGATGGTGAGTAATCAGATTAGCAAAGAGGAATGGGAGAGAAAAGAAACGTTGGCAATATGGCTAATGTTCTCCAAGTTTCAGTTTGGTTAAGTAACATAAACGTGTTTTTGTTTGTTGCTTAAAAAAGAAAAAGAGACTGTCATTTGAAATGCTCCCCTCCTAAGAGGCATTTGTAGGGCAATCTCAAACCCATGGAATTATATGGAAAATTAGCCAAATGGAATGAATGCTTAACCTCAGAGGTTCTTACTCAGATACAGAAATACAAAAGTTAAATGAAAAGCAAATCTGTGGTTAAGAAGGAATATCCCCCCCAGGTCACGGTGGCAAGAATCTTGAGGGTTTTTTGGTTGTTGTCTCTCTCCTCTTCTTCAATTTACCAGACCACTTTGTAGGAAATATCCGTGTTTCCATGTAATGTCAAAGAGATCAAACGTAAAACATGATGCAATCCTATGCTTTTCTCCTCAACAATCGCCTAAGTTATTTTTCTTGGAGAGAAACAGGCACCCGTAGCTTCGTTGACAGCACCAATTTGCCATCTTGTAAGAGAGTAATTTTGAAACTTTAGGTTCCATACCCACAGGCATAAAATAATTGAAAAAGGATGTGGTCTTAGATTCTGAATGGATGGTCCTTTGTTACTTTGTTACTTAACAATTTGGAGGAGGGTTGGTCCTTCTGGTTTGTGGTTTAATTCAGAATCATGTATCCCCGTGACTATCCCTTTGTTTCCTTGTTCCTAGGGAGCTCTGACTGTATCATTAATTTTCAGTGTTACTACCATTATACTTTACTACCTAGGGTAAAAAGAGAAATTATTAATTTCTTCTTAGCTACAGGCACTCTAGAGACTATATACAGGTAAGACAAAAATATTGTTTCTTCTCATTCTCTGCTTCATACATATCTTTTATTTTTAAACATATTCATGTGGTCTCACATTTAAGTTGAATATTTATTTTGTCTTTCTATAGCTTTGACATTTCTAATTTTTTTTTATCCCTTTTATCACTATTATATCACCAGCACCTAGAACAGCCTCTTGCATACTGTTTGTGCTCCACACATGTATTTATTGAATGAATTAGTCAAAAACATCCCCTGCAGTCCTAATCTTACTTTAAAAACGCTCTGAGAACTTTTGTACTGGCTTGCCACCTTGCCCCAAAAATACGTCTTTGGGCTTCTCTTTTATTTATACTTTAGGGTTCTGATGCATATATTTTGTCACTATCTCACTGGGGATGACACACATTTCTGCTTTTGCCTGTCTTAGCCAAAGCTTCATGATTATGTCCATCAAACACCTCTACTTAGATCTTTCTTCCAATTCAAATTTAATACAGTTTGATTTTTCCCCTCAGCCTAGTTGACTTCTATTCCTTTTCTTCTAATCCTTTACAACCAAATCAAATTAAGTGTAAATTTTCTTATTTTATCTAATCTCTAAGAGGTGACTCTGAAATCTCTTGTTTTGTGTATTGACTTTCAATAGAATGAAACATTCTCTTCTCTCTTCTGTACAACTTGTTCCAGAAAATTTTCCAAAGTGATCTTTTCTTATCACCATAACGACATACCCCCTCCCCTTAAAAATCTTTCAACTTCTGTTTTGGATAAAGGCTTTCATAATCTAGCCAATTATATATTTTGTTCTATTTATGCTTTTTGTTTGACCAAAACACTAATAACTTACTACTTTCATCAGATTTACTCAGCTAACTGTAAAAAAATTTAAGATGACTAAAACATCCCAATATTTTTCATTAAAGTTTTACTTAATGTATTCCAAATTGTTTCTATGTACAAAACAACTCAGTAAATTATATGTCTTCTAATATTAAGAAATTCCTTTATTTCGTTTATGGAAGATTCCTTTATAGAAAGCCTTCACTGAAGAGGGGAAGATCGATAGTTCATTGATTCAAAAACCACAATCATTCTTACCTTTTAATATTATTAATTTTGCATAAATGTTGCAGAGTAAAGTCTTCCAAAAATACCATTTTTATCACTATCCTAGGACCCCAGTCACTCTGGAGGGGGCTGCTGCTTTGCCAACCAACTTTTTTAGCTTTTAGACCTGGCACTGTTGGCTATCACCCAAACTATCAGACTTTATTTCACATTTCAGTATGAATCTCAGCTTCCCCTGGCTATGTTCAGTGAGTGGTAATGACGATATCTGGGCTCAACAAAAACTTTCAACAACTTGAAGGTGTTTACAAATTATAGAACAGTCTCTTTTATATGACCCAGCATTCAATACCTGGTACTTGATATGTCTGCCTAGAAATATGCTTAACTGCGTGATGAGACACTACTGTAAACTGTTGCTCAGGAAAACATAAGCAGAACAAGGTTAACAGTATAAAAAAAAATAGGTATGCACACTCTTTGACCCAACAGTTAACAATCTCAGGAACTTATTGTAAGGAAATAATCAAAGATTGCACTGTTCATAACAGTTAAAAAATTGCCAACAGCATAAATGTTCAATAATAATATCTCTTTAAAAGTTGTGGTGCATCCATATAATGGAATTCAATTACATGGAATTAAGAAATTTATTGATATGAAAAAGCAAATGATTTACTAGGTGAAAAAAAAAGCAGGTAACAAAATCATGTATGACCCTATTTTGTTAGAAAAAATTATCGAAAAGTATATAAACAGAAAATATTGAAAGTTGAGACATCAAAAATTAACGATGGTTATATTTCAGCATTGAAATCACAGGTAACAGTTTTCTTCTGTGCTTTATTCTATAAATTTAATTTGTTAACCCCAAATGGCAGTGCTTACTACTCTCTTCTCTCCGCTGAAATATGATTTGCCTGTAAGTTCTGATTGAAATAAGATGACATTTTCAAAGAAAGAAGCCCTTACCTGAATATCAGTCAATTTGTCCAAGATCCGACTTGCAAGCTTCGGACCATTCTCCATAGTTGGGATGTGTATAGTCTACGAAAGAAAACCACATGCAGTATAATTTGAGGATATCCATGTAGATGGTGACAGTAAGTAAGACACTCAGCAATTCTAGTGTATCAAGGCAATTCGATGGAGATAAGGAATGGCACTATGATAACCTAATTATGTACACTAGCTCCTTATGCCAAAGACTCTTTTCTATTCTGAATTTGAATAAAAACAAACTAGCCAATGACAGGTTGTTTCTTGTCTACCAACTGATTTGAGGGCACAACTGGTTTACATGTCAGTCTTTAGGCTGATGTGAGGAACCAAACAGAAGCTATAGGAACCGAAAAGAGTGGCGAGACATAAAGAATCTTACCCCTTTCAGGAGTCTGAGAATCTACAGGATGAGTGATTGGCCTCTGTACCTAATCCTTCTGGCAAGGAATGAGAACTCAAAAACATTTTGCCACAAATTAAAGCAAGTCATTGCAGGAACATAAATTAAAGCAAGTCTACGCCTTCATAAAAGGGGCGACTAAACCTATGTCTGTTCAAAGTCAGACCTGCGGGGGCTACAACCTCCACAATGCTGGATAGCATGGTTACACTGGGTGCTGAGAGATTTCATGCCCCTAATTTACATTTGAGTCATGCCCATTCCTGCCTCACTGGCTTGCAGGCTTTTGATAGTCTGATTTTAGCAGATATAGCCCATGCTGTCACTTTTCTTCTTACACTCTTTGTGATAACAGGATAATTAGATGTACCTGTTAGCTCTGAATACCCTGTGAAACAAGACTATTAAAAATGCATTGGACTTTATCAACTTATTTCTAGAGGTGAAATAATTGGACTTAAAAAAATCTGACCTAATGGCAACTTTAGTTAATTAAAAAAGTGGACCAATAATGCATTTACCTAGATATTACCATAATAAAATGTGAAACAGTAGCTTTGTAATCAGTATAAATATTGATACATAATAATTTAGTTCTTCTCCTTTGAAACGATAAATCTCTAGATGGAATCATGTCAAAAGTCATTCCTTACAATCAAGTTTGAAAATCTCAAGCAATGAAGCAGCCACCATTAAAATCAGAAAAGGTTTACTGAGGAAAAATAATTATGTTAAATTTAAAAACCAATCAAATTTATATTTAATATGATTAATACAATTCACACTGTAAGAATTATACCCACATGCCTTTAAGCTATGAAGTTTGACAATGATGTTAAGTATCAGAGCTCGGGGCGCCTGAGTGGCTCAGTCGGTTAAGCGTCTGTCTTTGGCTCGGGTCATGATCCTGGGGTCCCAGTTTCAAGCCCCACATTGCGCTCCCTGATCAACAGGGAGTCTGCTTCTCCCTCTGTCCCTCACCCTGCTCGTGCTCTCTCTCTCTCTCTCTCTAATAAAATCTTTAAAAAAAATGAATGAATGAATGAATTAAAAAAAAAAAAACCCACAACCCCCCACCCCCCAAGGAATGGAAATACAGCACATATAAAATCAGATTAATTTACTGGGAGAAGAAAATTTCTTCCAACCAAATGACTGAATTTCTTTTGGAGGATTTTAGCAGGTGTATCAACTTTGCCAAATGAAAATTTTTTCATAAAATGGTCTAAGGAACAATAACAACAGCAGCAATAATAACAACAATAAATGTAGGAGTTGATCATTCAGATGAGTTTCCTACAGCTGTTTTACTGCCATTACTACTCCAGTAGGTTAGGAGTCCTTTTGGAAACCAGAAATTGAAACCTAACTACCTGTAGAACCTTTTAGTGAGCTAGTAGAAAGAAATAAGAGTGGAAAGTTATTGGCACATCTCCAGTCCCTAAACTGACATAAGGCAGATGTGATACTTGTCCAAGGACAAAAATGATCCCCCCCCCCGCCAAGATTGGAGCTTACACAAAATCACTGGAAAGATGAGAGTAAGTAATTTGGTAATACAGGTTCATTGGGACAAACTGCCAAGTTATATTTAAAAAAAAAAATCCTTTGCATCTTGGATCCAACTAGCATTTCATTTACACATTTAAAGAATTAAATTATAGGCAAATGCTTGGAAATGACAGGAGGTGAAGAAATAGTCTTACCTCACCCTTGTACAGTATATCAGAAACTGGGCAAACAACGCAGGCTGTACCAGAGCCAAACATCTCCCTCACCCGGTTCCCCTCCAGGGCTGTTGTCAAGTCACACATGGTGAGGTACCTCTCCGACACCTTAAATTCACCCTGTTTGGAATATAAAAAATAAAAATATTAATATTTTCAAGGGAAAGGCATGCAAAAAAAAAAAGAACCCCTGCAGTACTTACCTTCTTACTTTACATTCTGATTGAACTCAGGTAATGTGAGAATCATCCTCTGAGGGAAAGCTGAGGAGAGCACCACCATCTTATGGGTAAACACACGGAGGTGTTAAGCTACCTACTCGAGGTCACGGCATCTCTATTGTTTTATTTTATTTAATTTTTTTTTAGATTAACATATAAGGTATTATTTGTTTCAGGGGTACAGATCTGTGATTCATCAGTCTTGCACAATTCACAGCCCTCACCACAGTACTTACCCCCCTGATGCCCATCACCCAGTCACCCCATCCCTCCCACCCCCTCCACTCCAGCAACCCCCAATTTGTTTCCTGAGATTAAGAGTTTCTTATGGTTTGTCTCCCTCTCTGGTTTCATCTTGTTTCATTTTTCCCGCCCTTCCCCTATGATCCTGTCTTGTTTCTCAAATTCCTCATATGAGGTCATAGCATCTCTAAATGAGATGATCAGAGAATATAAAATAAGACGATCACTATAAAATACATGGTATATTATCAGACAGACCAGCTTTTTTAGCCTTTATTTGTTGCCAAGTCTGAGGTCTCACAAGATAAGGCACCCCCAGTGCTAATTAAGTTATGCTCGATGTTAACAGTGTCTTGAACCCTATTTATCATCAAAGAATATATCAAATAATATTAATAATTATAGCTACCATTTATTGAGCACCCATTGCATGCCAAGTTCTCTCACTTTTAAGGTGGGTATTATCATCCCCATTTCACGGATGAGGAAATTAAGGTTCAAAGGGAGGCTAGGTGACATCCCTAAATCCACACAGCTAGTTAAATGGCAGAAACAGAACTTGAACTCAGGTCTGATCTGACTGGCTCCAAATTTCCTCCTCTACTAGGTATTTCATGGAGTGAAAACATAGACTGAGTTTCACTATCTGAAATATTTCATCATTTTAAAACATAGAAAATATATTTGGACTTTGAGAAATTGCACTGTATATTTCTTTTCTTCCTAAATTCACTGATTCAGTTGACTTTATAGCAGAAATCCTCTTCCTTCTCTTTAGTATCCCACTAGGTCAAATTTCATCCCAGAATTACTGGTATAACCTCATCGACTTCTGCTGAACCACTCGAACTTATTTGCTTGAAGATAGGAAATAAAAAAAAATTTGATGTTTTTAAGCTATCTGCTTAAACAATCTGTTTAATACTCATTCTTCAATCTGTTTCATTCTCATTTTATGTTAATGGTTAAAGTTCAAAGTCTGTCTCATCTTATTTAAAAAAAAAACTATCCATTCTTTGTTGCCTTTTATTAAGATGAGAGTATTTTTTAAAACTTACAGATCCACAATAGATAAAAATGAAAATCACAGCCCTTGGCAAGATTTAAAACATTAGAAGAAGAAGGCATCATGCTGTAAGTATGATTTGGAAGGGTAGGGAAATATGCCTACAATAGAAATACGGCTTTTTGCAAGTTTCAATTTATCTCAGCCTGCAGTTGCAATTATGTTGTTCAAAGGTAAATAAATAAATAAATAAATAAAATTCCAGAAAATCAGCCAAGTTAACTGAAAACAAGATGAGCTCTGTGTTCTGGAAAAGAAAAAAAAAAATCTCTTGTAAATAAACAGAATTGTTTTTACTCTGCTCACCGTTACTTATCTTTGGACAATTTCCCCTGTCTGGCAAGTAATGGTAACCCCCCACATGCCTCTTGGCATTTATGTCTCACTGTTTTAAAATAGCTTTTAAAATAAATTACAGCTAAGGAGTCAAGGAAAAACTTCCTCCATAATAACCTATTTTTCAAGCTAGCAAATCATTAGTGTGGGAAAGCATTTCCACTTGCAACTTGTCATCAAACCTTCTGTACTTGGTTGATTTTTCTTTAATAAAACAAAAATTACTGAGCTTCGAAAATACATCTTTCCAACTGCAAACATATTTAGGACAGGGCAAGCTGTTTGAAATTATACCAACAGTTTGTAAATGTCATGCCCAATGTGCCAGCCAGCATGTGGCAGTTGGGTCTTGTCTACTTCAGGGTTTTGTAGAATTATTTATAGCACATTTCCTTTATTTCCAAAGCCTTTTCCAGAGAAACTATGCTAGTCCTCTCCTAGATAATATGTGCATTTCTAAACATTTGTCCTATTAATACTGTTTGACCACAGTGTGCTCAAAGTCTTTTCATGTCCCTTGGAGATCATTTTAACACATGGGTCAAAAGTTCCATCCAAGAATCTTTGCCAGATAACCAACTCATCCAACATTCATCTTGAGTATGTTATAAATGTCATTTCAATACCAAATGGTTTAACATGCTTGCCCGTGTCACATGGATCAGAAACTCCACTGAAAACAACTACATTTGCCTGAGTGTTTTGACTTTAAAATAAGCATGTATGTGAATTGGGGAGGACAGGGGGCAGGAAGGAGGGAGAAAAAAGGCAGCCAAACTAATAATGTGATGTTAGCAAACATTTATATGTCAGTAAAATTCTTTAATTTCTCTGACTAGCATGGTTACACTGGAATAAATAGAGGAAAGGAATCAGCGCCAATTGGAAACAACACACTTAGATTGGAAAAGTTCAGGACGGGCAAAACGGTAGCACATGAAGTATAAACCAGGTGAGTTGGTAGGAGACACCTGGTAAAGAGCGTGATATTAGTACTAGAATACTTCCTCACGAGGATAACTCCCCAAACTGTTTTCTCTCTGCCCTTCCTATAAACAATACTTATTTAGTGGGGTTGCCAAGACAGTCCTTCTGGAAGAGCTATTTCCACTCAAGTCAGGATTTAAAGATTAGATAACACTGGGTGGGACCACAGAATATTATTTCAACATGAAGCCGGGCTTATTTCGATTACTTTCTGTTTCATGCTTATAAAGTTGTTCGTGTCAAAGGCACCCACCCACTTGTGTGCCAGGTCCAGGATGCTCTGCCTTGTCACTCCTGGAAGAATGATGCCATCTAGCGGAGGAGTTGCCAGCTCTTCTTCTGTCAATTAGAAAATGGAATATTTTCAAACTTTAACTACATTAGCCATGCCTTATATTAACAGCTATTTTTAAAAACTGTTTCTCACAACTTTGCTAGTAATAAACATGAAGATGATGTTACCGTTCCACATTATCTAACTTCCCAAATCAATTCACACTTCAGGTAACTCTTTATTTAAAAAAGGAGGAGGAGGAGGAAGAAGAAAAAGGAAATAAAGCCATTCATCGAATTATCCTCAATTTATCTTTACCTAGTAAAAACCGAGATGATGTTCCACTAACAAACAGTAAGAGGAACATTCTGAAGTCAAAATTTACCTCCATGGATTAACACTGGTTAGTAATTAGAATCATGTAGATAGACCGGATGCAGGAACACTGGTCATTACCAAAAGATCTAAGAATCCTGTGGAGGAACCCAGCCTCAGGAAGTATGTTTGCCTATTCAGGTTGGTCACTGCTTCTACACCACCCTTTGTAGATATACCTATCTATAGTGATTTCCAAACCTGGAGGAGTATCCACATCAAATATGGGGTTACTGACTTCACCCTCTGCAATTCAAATGTTAACGGGCTCAGGGTAGGCTCAAGTATGTATGTGGCTAACAAAGAAAAAAGAAAGAAAAAAAGAAATCCGAAGAATCAAAACAAAATTCCATGGGTGATTTATGGAGAGCCAAGGCTGAGACACTGGTTTACTATGAGAATTATCACATGCATTCCTAACCAACACAGGGCCAGTATGATGAACTGTCTACAAGAGTCAGCGTGATCCAACAACCACATAAGCTCTCCTAACAGGAAAAGTCTCTAGTACTCAACATCCCCTTCTCCTCCCCATATCTGGCATCCAGGAGTCTAAATCTAGGGAGAAATTTAAGCCTTAAGTCATCACTTTATAAAGACGTTGAACCTTGTAACAGACTTGTTGCTTATCATGTGTTTGTAGAGCAATAAACCAGGTATGCTTGAAAGGATCACCAGGTAGCAAGAACTGTAGAAATCACACTGGTATCTTTAAGCTCCCCCAAGCCATTTTAAGCAGCTAAAAAGGACTTGAGAAATCACCTCATGCAATCCTTACTTTTCGGAAAAAAAACAGAGGCTCTCTAAACATAAATGACTTGCAAGACTGGTAACACTAGGGGAGAGTCAGATCAGAACTTATGTGTCCCAACACTGGGGCCACTGTCCTTTCTTTTAGTATTCTGTGGTCAGGGCTCCCCTACTCCACTGTGGTTCCACCAGATGTCCCCAACAGCCAAGCTGTCTGGAAGACCAAAACTCTATATTCATGCCTGTGTCCCCCAAACTTGGTGTTGTGCCTGGCCCAGTGTGGTACGTAATAAGTTTTTCTGAATTTAAAAATAAATAAATAAATGAATGAATAATGCTTTTTGCTAGGAGACAGCAGCATGATTTTTTTTTTTTTTTTTGAAGTTTGTTTCTAAAAATCATCGGATGAAAACCACTTTCTGGAAAGGAGAAAATTTGTTCTTGGCAATGTTCTTAGGGCTACTCTTTGTCATGTTTAGAAGTGTTGATCTCAAAATAAACCTGTGTTTTGCAATAGCTAGCTAGCTGGACACATAAATGTAGGGATCTATGTGTGTGTATGTGTGCAGAGACAAACATACTTCCAGTGCCTCCAAACTGGACCTTTCCTAAAGCCTGCTGAGCTCTAAGACTACATAAAATTAAATAAAAACAGAGGCCTCGCAAGTGCAAGTGCAGTTTTGTGAAATATACTTAACACCCAAAACCATAACCACTAGCCTAAGGTCAAGGCACAGAACATCTGTTTCTCTGGTTGCCAGACAGAGATGATGACATGACAACATTTGGGTGAGAAATATTCATTTTCCTCTGCAACCACAAACATGCTTACAAGAGCCAGAACTAGCTCCAGATTGCCCAACATGAGGAAAACAGAGCCTACAAATACAACTTGTTTTTGACAAAGAAATCATTTGTAGGAGATGAAGAATTTAGAAGCAGTAGTGGCAGAAGTCATCTGTGACATCCCAAAGTCAATTTCTTAAAAAAACCAGGAATGTGGGTTTGTATAAGTGCCCACCGTCAGCACAATTATTATTTATTCAACAATATATTGAGTGCCTACCATGTACAGTTGGCTTATCTCTGCATTATGCATATAGCAGTGAGCAAAACTGATATAACTCCTGTCTACTTTCTAATAGGTTGAGGCAAACAATTATTATGTTAAATAGTATGTTAGACTATGGAGAAAAAAAAGAAAGAAAAGAGGGAAGGCAAAGGGAAATGCTAGAAATGATAGGAGAGGGAGTCTGCAATTTATTAAGATGTTTGAGGAAAGCCTTACTGAGAAAGGGTTATGTGGGCAAAGACTTGAAAGCAAGGAGCAAGGCATGCACACATCTGAGAGAAGATGGCTCCAAACAAAGTCTATCAATGCCTGATGTCTGAGAAGGCTCATGGGGCCCGAGCCCAGACTGAGCAACATCAACATTCATTGCCATGATCATTCTCCCAAACTAACTCTAAACTCAGCCACACAACTGGGTCTTATTCTCAGGGTAGTTCCGGAGTCCAGTGCAAGGTAAAATGGTTTGTTCCAGCTGTGACTAGGAAGCATGTATGACAAATTACTCAGCACCACAGTATAGCAGAGAATCAGTGCTGTGAGATCTTACTCCCAGGGTCACTGTTACTAGGATCAAAACCACACGAGTTACAGGCCAAGTGCCACAGATAGCTATGGTGCACGGCACCGTGCTGTGAAAACAGATTATTTACTTTATATACCTTTCTGGAGCAGCCATTCCTTTCTGGAACTCTACCTTACTGTAGAGTTCCCTCAATGTCTTCTTTTGTTTTTAGCCCAAAGGTTATTCCTGACATTCTATTGACTTCTCTCATGGCACAGTCCAAACATTTATTGCACTTCCTTTCCCTTTACTTGAAATTTCATTTGCTCTGTTAGGTGAACATGCACAAGCTGAAAAAGCATTAAAACTAAAGCTATCTCAGGCAACCACAATCTGAATAGTAACTCTTGGCACGTATTGAATGGAGCACTGGGTGTTATACGCAAACAATGAATCATGGAACACTATGTCAAAAACTAATGATGTAATGTATGGTGATTAACATAATAAAATAAAATTTAAAAAAAGAAAAAATAAATAAAATTAAAAAACCCAAGAAACAAAACAAAACAAAGATCTGATATATTTTGTAAGAGTCAAAAGACAAATTCACTCGTGTCTATTCTGACCTTTAAAAGTCATGGTAGAAATGGTTCATGATTGTTCTTTGGATAAGGGGTAATTTTTCACCAGGCAAGTTTCTACTGTTTCTGGTTAAATCGTGTAGCTCTGATTCAGACTGTACTTATAATCCTGACATCTCCCATCCATAAATAATGATGATACCACTTCTGTATGATGTAATTGTTTTTGTTTAGGGTTGTGTGGTTTTTTTGGCGGGGGGATCGAGGTTGGGGGTAGGAGTGGGCAGGTGGAAAGAAGGAGTTGAATCAATATATTATCTCCTACTAAATACAGAGTGCAACACTGGCTGTCATCTTTCAAGCATAGCTTTCAATATATGTCATATGCAATGACTCAGATTTAGCAATCACAAATATTCCAGTATAAATTTTGTTTCTAAACTGTGTCAAGTACAAACAACAGGAATGGAAGAATCCGCATGATCTGCATCTGGCTTTTCAAATGCCAAGGATTACCAATGGTCAACCCAAGGACAAGGTGTACTCACCACACCTGTTTATTCTACATCTGACTGGAATATAAGGCTCATCTTATTAGTCTCTGCAACTAATGCTCAAATTAGTGCATAGCTCTGAAGTCAGCCACATCTGAATCACCATTTTCCTCTATTAGTAGCCAAAAAAACAAAAGAGCAATAAGTTACTGTAGCTATTTTAAAATAAAAATTTCACTTAAAATTTTAATTGAAATGAATACTCAGACTTTATAAGCATTTGGAAACTTATATTTCTAGTCTCTAGACTCAGTACTGTGAAATGAACAGCCGAAGAACATAAACAAGCCTCAAAAGATGTTTTTAAACTTTTATGACTATTAAAATTCTAATGGAAATAAATGCATATATCTGTATTGTTCCCCATTATTGGTCATTTCATCCAATACCATAGACATTGTCAACACTTTGCTAAACCTCTATGGTCTCTGCCAACTAATTGAAAAATAGAAAAGAAAGATAATGAGCATTCAGGATATTTAAGGCAATGAAGAAAAACAGATTTTTATAGCAGACACATATTAATAGGTTTGAATGAACCAGGATCTAAGTACAATCCCAAAATGGACCAATCTCCCCTTAAAAAGAGTGTGTTTTAATCAAATTGAGCTCCAGCATAAATCTGGAAGATTTCTGATGTATTATCAAAATATGTAGAAAGGGCAACAGCTGTTATACAACTTTTAGCAAGAGAATCCAGTAAATTTCATATCAGTAGAATAAGTAGACTATGCTTATCACTGCAGCATTTTATACATGTAGCATATGGTGAATGACCACTGAATTGATCTGAGACCTATCTCTAAATGAAAGGGATTTTGGACAGGAAAATGAGTGAGAAGATGGCAGAGGGGATAAGGCAACAAATCTTCAAATCACAAAGTCTTAAATTCCTTAAGCTGACATCTCAGTAATAAGCACATCTCGAGCCCAAACCCCAAAACAAAACCTTTACAAATTCTGTGAATTTAAACTCATTTCTACTTGAACAACAAAAGCACAGTAGTTCTTAGCCTTTGAGCTCTCATGCTACTTATTCCTTATTCTAAGGTCCTCGTTCTTTTTTCTCTAGCCCTATTGAAAATGATTGACAAATTGCAAAGAGCTGAAATCTGAGTGAATTACCTCCATCTTCATTTATCCAGTAAAGAAAAAGATTCATAGTTCCAACTTCGGTTATCTGATTATCCTCTCCATAGAGCCACAGAACCTGCTGACAGCCATGGTCTGCTGCTTCGCATTGGGCAAAAAGTGATGAGCCGTAATTCCTTTTAAGAAAGAGGAAACATATTGACTATGAATATACTACCCCTCCTCTGCCACCTTCCATACTAAAATCCTCAGGTCTTTAATTTGTATGTGGATGTAGTCAATGCACCATGCCCGTGTGTGTGTGTACACTAGTTAACTGCATAACATTAAAGGAAACTCATTAGACAAACTAAATGATCTAACTGCACTCACGTGAGAGAGAGAGAGAGAACACAGCAAAATTGTGGAATCCTAAATTGAAAAGTAGAGATAATGAGTACAAAGATAAGTAGCTAAATTAACGATAACAAGTAAAATTTCTTAGGTATTTTTTCACTTTCCAAGCAATCATCCGAGAATTATTTCATTTAAACCTCACACCAATACTCTAAGCCAAACATGTATCAAATTACATGAAGTAGCAGAGCACCAAGCTGTGCTCTTAGCTGAGACCTTTCAATATATCCAAGAGACAGCAAATGCCCAATGTCTAAATTCTCCAAAGGGTGGGACAAAATGTTAAAAATCCTGATTTTAACCAAAAGTATTCCAAAAGCCCATTTTTCTCAACCTGCACTACTCATCCTAGATTATTCAAAATTAAGGGAAGATAGTACATCTTCCTAGAATAACAGTTTAGTTTAATATTTTAAATTTGTCATCTTTTATTAAACTTGAATGAGAAAATTATGGCGTATATTACAAAATATGGATGAATGTTTTAGATAAAACATAAGAATCCTCAAATAAATATGTTTGCTAGCCTCCCTAAGGCCCTGGTTGTATAATTCACTTTCCCCGGTTTCCACAGGACATTAGCAAACACGTTTGAGAAGCGCTACCAAATGAAAATCGAGGGCTTGGAAAGAAACCCCAAACCCGCCCTTGGATTATGATGCCCCCAAACAAACATGCAGAAACAATCAAACATACTACAATAACTACAACAAAGCATTAATGTCAGCTTCCACAAAATACGCACCTAGGCCTTTTAAAGGTCAAGATTTTACATCTGGTCAAGATCAGAATGTCTAATTAAAAGTATCAGTTAAGCACTAGAGCCACATTCACTCACCGTGGCTGTCTGCCATTTTCTTTTGCACAGCTTCCCGGTCCCACTATATTCTCTTTGGCCCTTCCTTTGGAGCCAAGTCATTCTGCTTGGGTTGACAGTCATTATACCTTAGCCTACACAACTGAAATAAAGGGTGGGCATGTAACCTAAGCTGCTCATATAAGCCCTTCTTTGAATGATTCACTCACTCATTTTAATGTAGGGAACCTGAAAGATGTTATTTTACCCTCTGGGGGTAGTGGCAGCCTGTCTGCTATGACATAAGCCTGGGGTCTATTGTGTTCATGATCACCACCCTTCACAGGAGAAAGCATCTGAAGGAGGAGAGCCCGAGGCTAATGCACAGGCAGAAGCTACCACAAGAGATGGAGGGAGGAGGGAAGCAGAAAGGGAAAGGCAAGAGAGAGAGAAACAGATTGGGGAGAAGGATAGCGCATGAGCAGGACATACACAAGGGCAAAAGAAACTTAGCAACAGGGGCGCCTGGGTGGCTCCGTCGGTTAAGCGTCTGCCTTCGGCTCAGGTCATGATCCCAGGGTCCTGGGATCGAGTTCCGCATCAGGCTCCCTGCTCCTTGGGAGCCTGCTTCTCCC